GAAGAAGTTTGATTTAGTTAGTTGAGCTTAATAACATCTGGATGAGTTCTTGTTGGGGAATTTGAAGCTTTTAAGGTTTCGGTGATGTCGAACTTTTGCACAATTGTAGTGTTATATGAAGTAGTCAGCATTATTTATATAGCTTAAATTTAAACCTTGTTATGTTTTTGTCGAACTTAAGCTGTTCAGTGCAGATGATTATCTTCTAGCATACTTTTATTATGTGCAATTTTTTTTACCTTTTTATCAGTTTGGCTAATTGGAATACACCATTTAATCAGCTACAATTGTAGTGTAATAGGATATAGTCAGCATAATTATGTAGCTTAAATTTGGACTTTGTTTAAAGTTCTTATTGTTTTATGTTTTGTCGAACTTAAGCGCATCAGTACAGGTGAATATCCTCTAGCATACTTAAATTATGTGCAATTTTCTTACCTTTTTATCGTTTTGGCTAATTGGGATGCACCGTTTAATCAGTTACAATTGTAGTGTTATAGGATGTAGTCAGCATAATTATGTAGCTTAAATCTGGAATTTGTTTAAAGTTCTTGTTGTTGTATGCTTTATCGAACTTAATAAGTTCAGTGCAGATGATTATCCTCTAGCGTTCTTTTATTATGTGCAATTTTCTGACCTTTTACCATTTTGGCTAATTGGAATACACCATTTCACCAGCTGCAGCCAAAATAGGTTTATCTTCTTCACTACATGCTTTCATTTGTCTGTTCTTTTATGGTCATGGATAAGTTTTTCTCCTATGCTAAGCCCTGCTTCTATGAGTATGTTTGATAAGCACCATAAGCTAGCTTATACCTTATTTTGTTAGCTTATAACTTTCATGTATCCATATAAGCTTGATTTGGTAGAAAGGGTTTTCCTTTAAAAAAGAAAAAGTTCGAGCTTGGGTAGTTTTCCAAATAAGCCAGTTGAAATTTTTATTTGAGCTACCTTATCAACTAATTTTAGCAAACACTTTTATCAAATAATCTAGCTTTTCAGTCATGAGTCATAAGCTAGCTTATAAGCTCAAAATTTATTTATCAGCTATCAGCTAGTTTTACCAAACATTGTCTACGTATAACACAAAGAAGAAATGTATGGTTGTTTAAAGACCGTAAGCATAAATACTGTATTCGTTTTAAGAACTTCTTGGTCTGTACCCTAACTTGATCATCTTGATTTGTACTTTGCAGGTCTGTGAATGGATGAGAACACAGGACGACATGAAACTCGTCTCGGGGGATTACGCTGTCCACCTAGACCTAATTGCAAAAATGCGGGGCCTAAACAGCGCCGAGAAATTCTTCGAGGACCTCCCTGAAAATATGAGAGACCACGCCACGTGCTCCTCCCTCCTCCACACCTATGTCCAGCACAAAGAGCCCGAAAAAGCAGAGGCCCTAATGGCAAAAATGTCCGAATGCGGCTTCTTGAAGAGCCCCTTACCATACAATCACATGTTGGCTCTATATCTCTCGACTGGCCAGCTCGAAAAAATTCCCGTACTCATCAAGGACCTCAAAAAAAATATCACTTCCCCCGACACAGTGACTTACAATCTCTGGCTGGCTGCGTGCGGGTCCCAGAACTGTGTCGAGACTGCTGAAAAAGTTTTTCGAGAACAAATTAACGCGAAAATCAATCCCGATTGGGTAACCTACAGCACTTTGGCCAGCATTTATATAAAAAATTCGATGCGTGATAAGGCCGAATCCTCTCTGAAGGACATGGAGAGAAAGATAACTAAAAAAGACCGAGCGGGATTCTCTTCCTTGATCAGCCTGCACGCAAGCCTCGAAAATACGAGCGAGATTCTTCGTTTGTGGAAGTTAATGAAATCGACTTACCGAAAATTGAACGATGCTGAGTATACTTGCGTGATATCATCCTTGCTGAAAGTCAAAGACTTTAAAGAGGCGAATAAATTTTACGATGAGTGGGAGTCTATTTCACCCACTTCCGATTCAAGAATACCTAATTTGCTAATTGCCGCTTATATCAACAGTGATCAAATGGAGAAAGCGAAGGACTTTTTCGAACGGATGGTGAAGAGAGAAACAGTTCCCGGTTATACCACTTGGGAGCTTCTCACGTGGGGTTACTTGAAAGAGAGGAATCTTGAAAAAGTTCTTGATTCGTTCAAGAAAGCCGTTAAGAGCGTGAGAAAGTGGGACCCGGACGAGAAATTGGTGCACGAGGTGTTCAAAATTGTCGAGGATTTTGGGAATGTGGATTGTGCAGAAGAGCTGATCAGGATTCTCAGGCGAGCGGGTTATGTGAATGCGGAGATTTACAAGTGCTTGCTTAGAACATACGCGAAAGCTGGTAAAATGGCGCTCGTTATGGAGGAGAGGCTGAAGAAAGATGGCGTGGAGGTGGATGAGGAGATTAAGAGGCTGGTGCAGTTGACGAGCAAAATGTGCGTAGGCGAAATTCCGAGTGAGGTTTGAAATAAAAAGTTCTAAACTTAAAATTGTTTCCTTTTTTTTTTTTTTTTTTAAAACTCGGAGGTAGGAGTTCTGGACCTCTGGCTATTGTTTTTTTAGTGTATTGAAGATGTTCTTGGGTTTGTTCTTATTTTTCCTAGCTCTGGGATGTTATTTTAGTATTTGACTATGATTTTGTCTTGGTGGAAAATTTTGGTGAAAAGATGGGCCCCAAAAGACATAAATCCATGTTTAATTATTAAAAAAAAAAATGTATGATAAACTAGTTTGGAATAGTAGATTTGTTTCAGTTTCAGTTAGGATTAAGTGGTTGACATTAGGATTTAACATCCGTACCTTGTGTGTAGTGCTGTTAAATTAAACGAGTCTAGCTCGGCTCGGCTTGTAAGGCTCGAGTTCGACGTTTTAACGAGCCGAGTTTGAGCTCATTAAAAGCTCGTTTGGTTCGGCTTGATAAGGCTCGAAAATAGAATTTTTATATAATTTTTATAGTTCGGCTCGTTAAAGCTCGAGATCGACTCGTTAAGGTTCGAGCTCGATTTTAGGCTTGTTTATTTAACAGAGTGTAGCTCGATTTTCAATCGCACACTAATAGAGTCTAGTATGCCCATAAATGTGACATTTCATAATACGAATATGCATTATTCGCAGCACAAAAGTCATTGTTGTTTGACGATTAGACATCATAAAACAATATTTGTGAAGTATAAAATAGTTTTGTCATTATTCATGATATTGTTCATCTATTACAATACCATTTTTTCACGAATATGTTTTTTTTACGTTTATACACTTTTGCACGTCACATCAACTTTAAAATCAGTAATTTTTACGTTTACACATCATTTATATATTTCATTATGTTGAAATATTATATCAAAGTAGCATTATATTTTCTTTCTACGTGAAGCACTATTTTTATTTTGTTATGTGTTTGGGAGATGCTACAGTCCCGTTACGGATCCGTCGGGATTTGTAACCATTAGATTATCATATAAAAGTCGAGGGATAGTTGATATAATGGTTACGAACCCGAGGGAATGATTCTGTAGGGTAACATTTTCCTATGTTTTTACTGGAAGAAATTGGTTATTTTTGGAACAATCAAAGCCTTAAGTCGAAAAAAAAAAAAAAAAAACACAAAATTCGGGGAAAGGAGGGGTTGACCCAACCCAACCCAACCTATCCCACATCCCACTAATCTACTAATCCCTAGTCAAAGTTTAGTCAACTTGAATTTACTTTCATTTTCCCTAACGAAAAACGAATGATTTATTAATTCAATAAAAAATAAGTAAATACATTCAAGTTAATTAATAATATAATTGCTTTAAAAAAAAAAAAAAACATGACTCTATGTTATAGGTAACCGAATTGAATCTCATTTAAAAGCTGGACAAGCCAAATTGGCTAACTAAATTTATTTGGTAAAAAATATTAATAAATTTGATAAATCTTATCGTAGAATAATATGATAAGATTTCAAAAAACAATTGCACAAACTAATTTATCAAACTCTTATTTATAATCAGTTAGATACTAGTATTAATACTCATGTACAACATGGGTGTTGAGTTAATGAATATACTAGTACAGAGCCCGTGCAATGCACGGGATGCACAATTTTAAGCTATTTATCCAGTCTTATAATTATATAAATGAATAAAGAAAAATGTACGGGATATATATAGTACGTGACCTGTGCAAGTCACGGGATATATTTATTTTGGAAATATTATATTATAAGATGCAATATGCAATAAAAAATTTATAATATGCAGAAAAATTGTACACAAAAATAGTATTCGACAAAGAAACAATCATATATTATGAAAAATTTCCTTGTACACAACATTATGAGTTTGATTATTGGGCAACTCGTTATCCTTACAAACTAATATCTTCAACCCCTTCTATTAGTTACACGCGAAACAACAACGTATAATTGCTCCCGTGTAGCATGATCTTAAAATCACCGGATGTCGAACGATACTTTTCTAGATTGTTGTCCACTTGATAATTCTTGCTACAAATGATCGTGTCCTCCTCAAAATTCTACTCTCTAAACGCAGCCAAGTTGATTGCCCGTAGCCATGCAGTAATGCTTTCCCTAAACATGTACAAAAAAATAATCAATAAAAAATTAATTTTTTAAAAAAATATAAATAATTTAAATATTTGAATACATACACGATAAAAAGAAAGAAGTCAAATTTTAAACTTAAAAAATAAAATTAAAAAAAATAAAAAATCTATGTTTCATAGTTCGAAATTAAAAAAAAAAAGAAGTAACAATAATTGGCTTACAGTTTTATCATGAAGAACCAACTCGAGATATGATTTGTATGTGCTACCTCGGTCTTGAAAAACATTCTTACAATTCTAGCCTTCAGCATAGATCTATTAGACTTATTAACTTGTTTGATTAAGTCAAATCATTGATTCATAAGACTTATTGGGGATATTGTTTCTGTTCGCAGAAGGTTGACATGGACGAAGACGATGACTCAATATTTGAGATTTGTAATTTATATTCGATCGATAGATATAACAGCGGTTATTTTTATAAAAAATCTCATTATACGGAAATCGGATTACATCTAGAGAAACAAATCTGAACAGATTTCCATACAATTAGAACCGATCGGTGATAAAAAGAAAAGAAGGAATTTTAAATATATACAAACTTTAAAAATTAGAGGTATTTACGTAAATCAATACACAACTAAACCATTTAATTTAGGCTTGATATTTGCTTTATTTATGAGTGATGTAAAATAAAAATATAACTTTGACCGATCAAATTTTTTATCACCGATCGAATATGCCTTTTTTTTCTTTGGATTTTATGTACAATTATTTGAGAAAACATATTTTATGGGATTTTTTTTTATTAAACCGATGTAATAGGGGAAAAACAAATAAATAAAATAAGTAAATAAAATACTAACCTAAAAATAGGATGCATTAATTAATGTTGACTTTTCTTACTACTAAATATAGTAAATAGGATGGCTTATTATATAAGTATAGATGTGTAAAGTTATTTATGCCTAATACAAAGTCTAACTCCAGAGTAAAAATAATATAAAAACAACATCACGAAGCATAGATTTTCGCCATGTCAGCATCCGAAGCATGAGAATCTGTCATCTAAACTCAACACGTTTTGAATTAATATATAGGGAGGGATATACAACCCTATGTTATATTTTCGGGAAATGCTAAAGTCCTGTTACGGAATCATTCAGTCGAGATTTGTAACCGTTAAATTATCATGTAATCGTCGTGGATAGTTGATCTAACGGTTACAAACCCTAACAAAATAGTTATGGGACCATAGAATCTCTCTATATACTCACCTGATTATCAGAAACAATGTCCTATTTATAAATTTGTCATCCTTCAAATAACTTGTTATTTATTTAATTTATTTTCAAATTACTGCAGTAGTCAACATTGGATTTATGGCCCGTTTACCAAAAGACGACTTAAGGAATATATAGTGAATGTGATTCGATATTATATATATTGTACTGCATGCATGGAAAAATTATTTTATTAATTATTATAATTCAAGATTTAATTGCAGTCAAAAAAATAAAAATAAAAATATTCCTTTTAAAGGATACGACCAATTCCGCTTCTCATTAGAAGAAAAAAAAAATGATTGTAATTTGAATAAAAATCACAAAAAAAATTTAATAATTCTAATTTCAAAAACCCGCTAAAAATGTAAAAATTGCAATAATTAACCCAAAATTACAGTAAAAAATTTATTTAATTATTACGAATGTGGACATAAAAATCGCTAGCCATACGTAATTATATTAATAATTAATAATTAATAATCCATAATATCTCCTTAATTAAATTAACATAATAATTCTCTTAATTACTCCCACCCACTCGGTCACCTCCATGTAAGTATAAAATTGGTTGTGTTGTAGGTTCAAAGTTGGACGTATGACAAAAAAAAAAAA